CAAAAAAAAAAAAAAAAATACATCATGGTAAAATTAATACCCTCTCAGCTTCGTATCGAAGCTAAAAAAATTAAAAATTGTAGGTCATTAGTAATTTTTATAGCATTGGCTAAATTTTCAATGTTTTATTATATTATAAGATTAATAATTAAAAACAGTATATATTTATTTTATTTATTGTAATTTGGTGGAAAAATATAATTATATGTTTTTTATGTGTTAATATTTATGCTATGATTTATCTAATTTTCAATCGATCTGTACCAAATTTTTATAATAATTTTTATGTTTATGCCTATGTAAAATTAATTTAGGCAGAATAATTTGATGTTTTAGTATTATATTATATTGTCCATAACTATGTTTTTCATATGATATACTATCATTCGACTTTAGATAGTTGTTACAAGAAATAAGTAACATTAAGAGCTTGTACACTTAAAAATAAAAATTAATAACTATCTCATTAAAACAAATTATTTTGCGAGTAATAGCGATACATTGAACTTGAAAAATATAACATTAGTTAATATGAATAGCCGATTTTGTTAGTCGTTCAGTGGTAAGTGGGGGTAAGAGTTTTAGACGCCGATATTTTTACATTATTTAATATGTAGGGTTAGACTCTGAGTTTATTAAAGTAACTTATAACTTATGTTATACACTTAAAACTAATTTAAATAAATTATATATCAGTTCTGACTAACTTAATACTATTTATTATAATATAGCAATTTTAAAATTCATTACATGTTTTACTTTTATCTTATCTAATGTGTTTATTTTGTTTAAAACTCATCAACCTTACATTCTCTTATGTATTTACAACTATAAGATTTCTGTGAAAATATTCCTTAATATTTAAGTACAGTTTGAAAATAAGTAAATTAAAAAAAAAATGAGTTATAATGAATATTTTTAAGTAATTTAACATTTTACCAAGATTTTATATCAAGAAAGTTGTTTACGATTAGAGATGTTAAGTTTGTGAAAAAATAGTTCATTTGAACTATCACTTTGATGAACTATTCTGAACTGTTTCAGAACGTGTAACTTAACAGTTCACAATTCGAAAAAAATTGATAGCAATGTATAATTGAAATAGTTCGCGAACTTCTTTAAAAATTCTCTGTGGTTCTTTGTTCGAAATTCTGTAAATGGTAAACAGCTGTTTACAATTAGATAACAAATAAATTATATTATTAAAATGTTACACGGTTCTTAACAGTTAAACAATAATATAAATTCATAAAATGTACAAATATTAGATGAGATTTCTGATTTAACTTATGACTACTGGTCAATAATCCACCTTGGATTAGGTGATAATGATAACATGAGCCATGAGGGTATTGATAATAATTTTTTTTTAGTTTATAATGATCAACTACAATTTTGATAAGCTTTTATTTTCATCATGTATATTACATTGTCTCCACAAGTTAGTCCTCGCTGTTTAACTACCTACTCTAAGAAAAATTAAATTTTGGATAGTTATTATTGTTTGTACAAATTATATTCTCGTATTATTATTATTATTACATTAATATCATCATATGTACAAAACCATATTTTTTATACTTATTTAAATCTCTTGACTTATTTGAAATTAAAATTTAGCAATACACCAATTTGATCATCTTTAAATTGTTATCATACAAATTAATAAAAACAGAGATGTAACTTTAATTAAATAACACATGTAATAATATTAGAAGTATTAATTATTTAATGAATACAAATAACAAACAAAAATTAATGCACTATACAAAAGTAATTAAAATAATATTAAAAATTGTGTATATATTTAATTTAACCTTTTAAGATTCTTCTTTGTCATTTCTATCTGTATTACTTTATTCACCATTATAATAATATTAGCTAGGTACATAAATGTATTATGTAAAATAAAAAAACGAATGAACTATTTACAGAAATGAACTAAACTTTCCATCTCTATTTACGATATCACGGTTGTTAAAAGTACTTATCTATTAGTACGGCAGACTTAAAACTGAAACGTACATTTTGTCTAACAGATGGCGAGTTAAGAGTGATAGTCATGTGGTTGTCCATGAGTAGGATACTATAAGTAATAGTCAGTACAAACCAACATTCGGTTGGCTGCGTTAGGTAATTGTTGATTTTAGATTCGTGTTAAATACGATTTACATCTTTTTTAAGTTTTAGATAAAAGCTAATTACAAAATTGTGAAAATATTTTATGCATTTTTTTTTATTGAATATTATTATGTAGAAGTGTACAACTTTATTTTACGTATTTAAAAAATGTACGGTAATAATCATCTGGTCGTCTCAATGTTTCGTATTAATAATAGGCTGAGAATGTCTGTTGGGCACGGTTCCAACGTTAAGCCGCCACTGTTGGAGTTTTTATCACAATAGTTAAATCATAATTATTTGTATTAACTTTAAGAACATATTACAATATATATGAAATCAGAAACTATACACTTTAAAGAAGTGCGGTCTAAATTAAAAAAAGTGCTTGTTTTATTGTTAACATTAAATTATAAGTAAATATTCCTAATGGATACATTAACTAGAAATATTTCTTCCAAAAAACAATATAATCTTGTGCTTAACGACGATTTTGATACAAGAATACCAATGCATCCGGAAGAAGCGTTCGAGCACGGTATAACATTCCATGCTAAGGTAACACCAGTCTTACATTATAATTCGATAAATTATGATGGCCACGTCGGCCCTATCAAATTTCTGAATTTTTCTATTTAAATAAACATTTTGACTACAAATAAAATAAAAGATTAAGTTTAATATTCAAGATATTTGTCCGAAACATTGATTGGATAATTAAATTAAATTCTTTTTTTATCTAATATAATCAATTTTCCAAATTAAATTATATGTCTTTTTCTAAATATTGTATCTAGCTATTTCAAGAAAATCAATTTTATAGTATTTGTTTCAGTTCATTTATTGATTTATTGTTAAATTTATGGAGTTTAAGGATATTTTGAACATTTAAAAAATATAGACATTTTATAACTAGATAGAATTTTTCGAGGGTGTTTCCATATTAATATAAATAACTATATTATTTAATATTAATATTATTTTTAACTACTTAAAAATCAAGTATTAAATTTTATTAAAATAAGCCAAAAAACGTCTTAATATCTTTCTTTATTTTATATTAACGGATACAAGAACCCTTTAAAAAAATAAATTTTATAATGCAAGAATAACATTAAAACATGAAAAACAAATTAAATATGTACATGGAAAATAATAACAAACATTAATAGTAACAGTAATAAAATTATAATATACCATTCAAATATATTCTTAAAAATGTAAATCAAATGAATAATTTATGAAGAGTTATGCAGAAATTTTACCTAAAATAATCACGTGACAAAAAGATAAAATTTTATTTTTCGGCAATAGTATGGGCTAAAATTAGTCCTTGAAAAAAAAAATACAAAACTATTATTGTTTTTATAAAATGGAACCTGAAAAAATCAGATTTTCTTTAAGTACTGTTTGGTACTGTAAAACTTTGATTTAATAAAAGTTTGATTGATAAAAGTTTGAAGAAACGATAAAACCATTGAATAGCTTAAAGAATACGAATTAAAAATTTTCAATTAAATGTCTGTATAAAAAATAACTAAGTAATAATACAACTGAATAAATCAAAGATATAACTAATGAAAAAAAAAAAAAATTTTAAATACATTGATATTTTTAAAATATTTTGTGCTCGTTTTAATGAAATTTAACATCTGAAAAGCTGAAACATATTTAATTGTATTGACATGTTCATTTCATAAAAAAGTGCTTTAAGGTAATTAAAAAATAAATAAATAAAATTTTAATGATATCTAGATGTAACTAGATATATTAATAAAACCCAACATCTAAAATGTTTTTCTTTATCATACTATCTAAGTGTGTTGAAAAAGATATTAATATTTCAGAGTTGTTATCTGGATATAAATATAGAATAACTGTTAAATTTAGACTGTAAACGATAAGATAAGATTTACTAACAAAATAGCGATAAAATTTAATATAATTTTAATGCAAACAAGGACATCATCGCCTAATTTTATAGAACATATTAATAATTTGCTAAATTTCCTAAATTAAAAACCCTTTCAATATCTCCTGGCTATATCACTACATTAACTATATATATTATTATTAAGTGTGTTAATTGATAGAATAAAATTTAAATATTTTGTTAATATATTTTGTATACCACGTTTTACTTCCTTCAAAATGGAATGACATTTTAAACGTTTTCGTTAAAAAGCTTTCAACAATGTGAGCTTAAAATTCGTCAAAGTTAATCGCTATAGAGCTAATAGTAATGTAACGTTTGCAATAAAAAATGACATCCATTCTTTTTAATATCATAAATTAAAAAAAAAATGATATCCTTTACTAATAAAACTAGTTTTATAATCATTTTTTAAGTTTAGAATAAGAAAAAAAACGATTTTTTCTCTAGAGTAACAGTATTATTATAACGGTTAAAAAAAGAAAAACATTTTGGTTTTATGTATATGCAATTATTTTTGAGGGAAATTAGAACAGTCTGATTAGACATGGTCTATATTGATGTGGCTGAGTTTTTATACCGAAGAAGATGAAAAAATAGCTCTAATACAATTTTGTTATTAGATACGGATTCTCCCTAGTGAAAATTTTCACTATTAATTGGATGATACTGCATTAGAATTTCGGTGTAAAATCTGTATAATTAACTAGTAAAAATTGTTTTGCATAAATAAATAACAAAAAAAAAAATGAAGTATTTTTTAGTTTTTAAAAATTATCTTCTTTATTATCCTTTTTTATTATTATTTACACTAATGATAATAATTTTGTAGATCTTAAAAAAAGTCATTCTATGAAGATGATTTAGCATTATTTTTCCTTAAAAGCCGTAACATTATAAATTTAGAAGTATATTTTTTCTAATTTAATAATTATTATAAATTTTTATTTTATTTTTCTTTATTTATCCATTTAAACCATTTAAAAATACTATAAATTTACAGTATTATTATAGGTCAGTGATATTTATATCGCACAAAATAATTATTAAAAAAAATGATTTTTTACGTATGAGAGAAAAAAATAAAGATACATATACATATTTATGTCTAGATAATCAGTGTAGTATTCTTGACTAGGTTTCAAACGTTTCATTCCTGAATTTTTCTATATTATTTACACTAAAAATGATTTATCCATATTATGAAAAATGTTCTGTCCACAAAGAAAACTGAATTAAAATATACTTGTTTTGTAAACAAAAGTCACAAAAAATGATTAATACACTCAATTATTAGACGAAACTTGTTACACCGGTTATAAGACAAAAGACCACTAGTATGATAGTAGTGTTGGTATAATGAACAACGTTTGTTATAGTAAGCTTAGTTGAAACTCCGATGCTATCGAAGGTATCGAAGAGCCATTGTTATAGAGAATAAAAACTAAAGATACCATGGTAAGAGGTGCAGACGAAGTGTATAACACAAGTATTTCATTAAAATAGTAGATGTAGCAAAGTACGAGATACAGACGAAGTACAAGACACAAATACTGAGCGCCTCAGGAGAAAAATATATTTAAATACGAAGTGCAAGACACAAGCACTTAAGTTCAAGAAGGCAAAAGTGTCAAAGAGAAAATATACAAACTCTTGGCGTCAGATAGAAAATCGGACAGCGACAACCGAGCGCTGAGACTGATGATTTGATAATAAATCTTGATGTACTGGAGTCCACTGACTACGATGATCAAGTCTAAATAGTGTTTATAAGATTGCGTAATTTCATGTTTTTATTTTAATAGTCGAGTCAACAGTTGCAAGCGTCGGCAGTGCGGTCTTAATTTATTATTATAAAAATATATAATAAAAATAATATTGATGACGTGACACCATGACACACCTTGTAGACAATAAAATATATTAGATGATAGTCTACTAATTGTATTATGCCCGATTTTTATATGCTTCACGATGTTCAAAAATAAGAATTAAATAAATATCATTAAAAGACAATATAATTTTTTTTTATAACGATTCGAAAAGATTTAATATTTTATATTTTAAATTATATTTATAAATGTTATTTGAGCAATATTATAAAACATGTCTTCGAGACTTGAGAAGAAGCTGCGAAAAAAGATACAACTGAAAAGTGATATTTTAAATGTTTAACAGTTATTTATATTTAAATCTATTGATTTATATCTAAAATGTAGGTAAAAATTTCAAATTAATCTTGTTTCACCAAAAATTATTTCCAACTTCAGTAGTTTTTGAACTTCAAGCATGTAAAAAAACACCACTTTATCAACTTAAATAGCTTTATACTAGACAATTTTGATAGTACGACAAAAAAAAAAAAACTCAGTTTTTCAAACCTCTTGAATAGTTCTATTAAATGAAATATATTTTAAATTATTGCTATTGTTTCCACAAGCCATTCGCACTTAAAATAAATTTAAAATAATGATTTTTTTCTTTGTAAATTTTATTACATTTGAAGATCAGATAAAAGATTCAATTTTTTTTAAAGCTTTTAAAAGTTTTCATAAATTATTTTCAAACAAGCCTTATTTAAGTTTGAACCAAAATTTTTATTTTGAAACTTTAGAATAAAAGTATAAATGAGTAAAGGATGCCACTTAGCATGGACGGCAATATCAATTTTAATAAATAATTTAAAAAGTTATTTACTAAAAAAACAGTGAATAAAAGGAACATTTAGCAACAGAAATATTAAAAGAAACATTTTTTAATTATTTAATTAAAAAAAGTAACGCCCCACAGAGGCAGAAGAATACAGATTGACTAACTTTATTTAACAGATTTTTTAAATAATAATCAGTGGTAATTTTTTTACAAAATGGAGAAATATCTTTATCTGTTGTACTGAAGCTTAGTGAAAAGACAAAAAAATTACACTTTTAATAAATAAAATGTCCAAAGAAATTGAAATTTGTGTAATGTAAAATTTTCTGGAGTTATTACTGCTACAATATCTTGAAGTAATCAGTCAATTGTTTTCGTAAAAAAATTGTAACAAAATAATAATTTAAAATTACTCATATGATATATAAATTTTTTAAATACTTGAATATTTATTATTATTATTATTATTCTTTTATCTTGTCTTAATCTCAACTACTTGGGGTCGACCAATTAATTATCAATATTATTATTATTACTCAATTTACTATTGTGAAAAAATTGAAAAATAATTTTACAGACTCGCCAAGAAAAGGTATAGTTAGAAAAATGAGCTTATCAATTTTGTAACTGTTAATCGAAATAAATGTGAAATTTGCTATTGATGGCAAAGGTGGGTTTTGAAAATTTGAGTCTTCAAGTACCGAATATATCAATCTGTTCAATCAAAAAAAGAAAATTAACCAAAAAAACTTTAGTAAGATATTTTCAGATTCTGATATTAAAAAAGTGTTTATTTTTTATGACGCTTCCGATGTTTAAAGAAAATTACACAAATATTGTTATATTATGTTTAAAATTGAAACTCAGTGAAAATCTCCATATATGTCTTCAAATTTAAAAATCATCAATAGAATTTGTGGATTAATTTATAGTTCTTGTACCCATCGCTAACCTTTTTGTGATTCTCTTTCAA